AGCCCCTGCTGGCGTGCTGTAGGGGGAGCTTCTGGTGCCAGCCTCATTGCTACGTGATGTTGGGTCTGCTCTTAGCCTTCCCGTGGCTCACGTTCCCGCCCTGGACAGGGCGTGTGAGCAGGGCCCACTTCGTGGAGCCTTGGCAGGGCCTATAGTCATGAATGGCAAGTGGTTTGTTTGCCTGATGTGCAGTGTCCCATCAGTTGTACTGCAGTTACTGTGGCTCCTGTAGGGCACCCTGTCCAGAAGTTCCCGGAAGAGAACCATGTGTCCCTGCACTGTGTTTGAGCCATGACGTGGAGGCTGTCGTTCTTGCCCGCAAGGAGCATACTGTGGAGTGTGCTGTAGGCATCTGCACAGGGAGAGGGCCGGGGTAGGAGTTAGGAGGAAGAGAATTTTCAACTCTAGGGCTTCAGTACTGCAGTGCCCCAAGCCAGGCTCTGGGCTTCTGCCTTTAAGGCCTGTTCTCAGCACGATCTCTCAAAAATAGGTCATCTCCTGCCACTCCTGGCTCATTGCCCTTTAATGGCTCCAAACCCTAAGTCTGCATGTGGCCCTGGGCTCTGGCATTTCTGCCAGCCCCTTTCTCCAGCCCCACTGTCCCTGAGCCACTTCCTGCCTCACAGGCTTCCTGTTTGATGCACCCAGACTCCCTCCCCTTCTCACTGCAGAAGCATTGATGTGGGCTGGACACGGGTGTCCTCCATGTCCCTCACATCTTCAGGCATGCTCTGGTCTAAGGCTTTGCCCTGGCCATGCCATTCACCTGGAGTGTGACCTCCTTTTCTTCAGGCCTTAAATCAGAAGTCACTTTGTTCAGGCCTTAAATCAGAAGTCACTTTTTATGTCTGCAATAAACATTCACTGTTTTCCTTATGAAATTGTTTATCAATTCTAGAAATATTTTAGTTGCTACTCTTGTGAATCACCCTTGATGTTACATTTTATAAATGAGTTTCACTGGTATATAGTATATAGGGCAGGTTTTAGTTTCTGTATTTTACTTACACATAATCAAATCAATTAATAGCTTTCAATGGATTGCTTGACATTGTTTTTGTATTTTAAGTAGATACATTATCTGAGAATTTAAGTCTGTCTTTTCCATTCAGATAGTTGTTTCTATTGTTGTTTTTGCTATTGTGTACATTGGCTATAGACTCCAGGATAATGTTGAATCATATGAATTATAATAGTGCCTTTAGTGATGTATCAGTCATGTCTCTTATTTTCTGATTTTGATGCCTTGACATCTGGGGCCTTGTTGACCCTGGAGAGACTGCCTCTCTCAGGATAGGCTAATTCTTGTACATAATAAAGAACTTTCCTGCCTGTATGCATTCATATACAAACCAACCAACCCAGAGTTTATACCTCCTTCTTTATCCTCTCTTCCTCACTCCTTTTTCTTCTTCATCTCTGTTTATCTCTTTTGCAGTCTTCATTCTTTCTTATCACTCTCACATTTCTGACCAGTATCCTGTTTCCCTAATTTCCTCAGGACCAGTTAGCAGCCTCTTCTATCCAGAAGCCGATGACGTCATTCAAACGAGACAATTCTAAGCCTGATTGCCCTGCCTCACTTGTTCCTTCCCATGGAAACAGCAACAAAGTTTCTTGCCCATGTTTTCCCCTTTTCCTCTACCTTCTGACCGACCGTGATGTTTCCCTGTCCTGCCCTTGTTGTGTGCTGTGCCTGTTGTTTCCAGGGAACTGTGAGTAGTAAAATCAACTACTTCCCTCATGAGAGTCATTTCTGTGTTTGTGTGTCTTACCACTACTGATAAAAGAAATCCTGGGTACCATAAATGCAAGTGACATTTCAGTTCATGCTGTATTATTAAATATGTTTTTTGCTGTAGGTTTCTGATCCATTATTCAGTATAAAAGCATCTTCCTCAATTGTGAGTTTCTTAAGGGGGTTTAACATTTTTTTCACAAGGGTTGGTGTTGAATTTTACCAAGAGGCTTTTTGACATGTATTGACATAATTATTTGTTTATTTCTTCCATGAGTTTTTGCAATAAAAATGATATTGATTGTATAATAGGTTAAAATAAAAGGTTCTTCAAAGGCCCCCAAGATATAATAGTTGTAAAAGTCTAAATCGCCATATGTAGATTTTCATAGCAAGTATCTGGGAAACTGTCCCACAAGTATTAACTCCGCTCCTGACTTTAACAATATGAATGGAAATAAAGTGGAAAAGACTGCAGGAAGCTGCTGCGTTGCTCTCTCCCCTACCTGGCCCCTGTATGGAGAAGAAAATCATACCAACTCTAAACCTGAGTTTATAGTAGAAATCTTTAGGGGGTCACCAAGACAACTGACCAAAAACACTCCTGGAAGTAATACGGGGTTATAGCAAAAGTGCAGCATACAGGGTTGATATAGGAAAGTCAATAGCAATTGCTTTTTCACACACCAGCAAGGAGCAATTAGAATTTGAAATTAAAAGCACAATACCATTTATATTAACATCCCTCCCACCAATGGAATACTTTGGTATAAATCTAACAAAATATATAAAATATCTATGAGAAAACCTATAAAATTTGGTTAAAGAAATCAAAGAAGAACTGAATAAATAGATATTTTATGTTCATCAAAGGGAAGGCCTAGCATTAATGAAATGTCAGTTCTTCCCAATTTGTTCTATAGATTCAATGCAATCTCCATCAAAATCCAGCAATTTATATTGTGAATATTGACAAATTGAATCCAAAGTTTATATGGAGACTCAAAAAATATAAAATAAAGAATAAGAGCAAGAATAGCCAACACAATATTAGAAAAGAAGAAACTCAGGGGACTAACACTAACCAATTTCAGTATTTCCTGGAAAGCTACAGCAATGAAGACAGCGTGGCATTGGCAAAAGAACAGACAAGTAAATCAATGAAACAGAATAGAAAGCCCCAAGTTAGACCTATATAAGTATTTGACAAAGGGGCAAAGACAATGAAGAAAACATAGTCTTGTCAACAGTGGTGCTGGAACAACTGCATATCCATATGCAAACACAAAAACAAAGAATCTAGACACAGATATTACATCTTTCACAAAATTTCACTCAAGGTGGATCATAGACCTATGTGTCAAACACAAAAGTATAAAACTTCTAGACAATAAAATAGAAGAAAATCTAGATGAACTTGTGTATTGCAGTGACTTTTTAGATACAAGAACAGCAATGGATTCATCCATGAAAGAAATGATTCATAAACTGGACAATCTAGAGAAGGAAATGACAAGCCACAGACTGGGAAACAACATTTGCAGAAGACATGTCTGATAAAATACCATTATCAAACATATGAAGAACTCTTAAAACTTAGCAATAAGAACATGAACAGTCCAATTAAAAAAACTGACAAAACATCTGAATGGACACCTCACCAAAAAAGATAAAGATGGCTAATAAGCATATGAAAAAATGCTCAACATCATATGTAAACAGGGAATAGCAAATTAAAAGTGATACCGCTACATACCTATTAGGATGACTAAAATTCAACACATAGGGTGGTGCAGCAGATCACCATGGCACACGTTTGCTTATGTAACAAACCGGCAGGTTCTGTGCATGTATCCTAGAACTTAAAGTAAAATAAGATTAAAAAAAATTTGAAAAAAGAAAAGCCCCATTATTACTGCATCTGACATCAAAAGAACATAATGTAACTAAGACTGGAGAGTTACTGTTTATGATATAAAACTTAATGGAAAGCAAATTTTCCTTCCATCCTATTTCAAGCATATGCTCAAAAAAATTAAGAATATTTTGCCAGTTTTAAGCACTAAATATCTTCTTTTAAAACTCAATTTGTTTCATTTTAAATTTCCATTTAGACTGCAGGAGTGTCCAATCTTTTGACTTCCCTGGGACACACATAAAATGCACTAATACTGGCGATAGCTGATCTGCAATTAAAAAAAATTGCAAAAATATCTCTTAATAGTTTTGTGAGTCTCACTCTGTCTTCCAGCATTCAGTGCAGTGGCACAATCTCAGCTCACTGCAGCCTCTGCCTCCTGGGTTCAAAGAATTATTTCACCCCAGCCTCCAGAGTTGCTGGGATTACAGTCACTCATCAACATGCCGGGCCAATTTTTATATTTTTAGAACAGATAGGGTTTAGCCATGCTGGTCAGGCTGGTCTCCGACTCCTGACCTCAAGTGAGCCTCCAGCCCTGACCTCCCAAAAGTGCTGGAATTAGGTGTGACTCACCACGCCCTGCCAAGAGCTCATAACGTTTTCATGTTTGTTGGGCAGCATTCAAAGCTGTCCTGGGCTGCCTGCAGCCCATGGGTTGAGACAGCATGATCTAGAGCTTACTCTTCCCCAAATACTAAAACATACCATTAACAATCTTCCTAAATTTAAAAAAATGCGTTATTATTTTCCACTCATTTTAAGAAGATTTGGAGAAGTTTTACAGTTTAAAAAACAACAAAAACAAAAACAGAGCCATGGAAAGAAACAGAAAATGTAAATGGCCTATCAGAAGCCAATCTGAAAGAGAAGAGATATAGGTCCGAAGAGCCAAGGATAAATTAATTGGGCATTAAATGTATCTCTGAGGGAAAACATTCCAGATGGAAACATACATATATAAGACTCTCTTTGCCTGCCCCTACATTCTTATTTACAGGATACTTACAGCACTGTGATAACACAGAATTCAAAACCTAACTAAATAACTTAATTTTTACTGTTATCCAAGCATTAAAAAAGCCACACCAAAACAGCCTGTGTCCAGGACTCCAATCAATCAAGCAACGGGATCTCAGAGAATGGGAACCATCTCTGCTTGTCATGTTTTCTGGTTTTCCTCTCTAGATTTTTCTGAGAATCTTGAATGTTGCAGAGGTAAAGACAGAAAATATATCTAAGGTCACTAAGACTTCAGAAGGCATGGGATGGTGAAAGCTATTTTTAATTACAGTGTTGATCCCAAGAAAGAGTGACCCAATAATCTTTCTAGAAATACCATCATCAGGAAGAACATTTAACTTTTATTCGTTTATTTTATTCATCTGCTGCTTCTGAACATGGATGCTTCCTGCCTCTTGGGGGGCATAGGAGGCCTCTTGGCTACCACGGGGAGGGGATGACCTAGTGGAGTGGGGAGCTCCTGATCGTCCAGGGGCAGTGGTGGTGGCTGCAGCAGCAGGAAGTCATCAGGTGGCGTGGGGAAGCCATCTTGGGGGACTCGGTGGGACTGCTGCTGGTGTCCGACACCAGAAGGGAACGGGGACAGGCTGAACTTGGTGGCCTGTGGGTCCTGGGGCACTCCTGGCTCCTGGTGGTTCTCAAGGGCTGGCTTGTTATCCTGAAATGGAATGATGGCAGCATTCATTATTAGAAAATTTTTGAAATGTTCAATTTATTATTAATTAATAGAGACTGGGTCTCACTCTGTCACCCAGGCTGAGTGCAGTGGCGTGACCTGGTCTCACTGCAGCCTCCTGAGCTCAAGCGATTCTCCTGCCTCAGCCTCCCGATTAGCATTCTTTATTCTTGACAAAACAGTCCTGGTGGACAGGATATGCCATAGATATGTGAGGTCTCTGTCTGTCCCCTGGGGAGACTCTGTCCCTCAGTCACTGAGACTCCTGGTTGTTCATGAGCTCATCTTTGCTCTGGAATAGGACAATGACTCTAAATGGCATTCTTCTTCTTCTTAATTATTATTTGAGAGGGAGTCTTGCTGTATCACCCCGGCTGGTGTCCAGTGGAGCCATCTAGGCTCACTGCAACCTGTGCCTCCCAGGTTCAAGTGATTCTCCTGCCTCAGCCTCCCAAGTAGCTGGGATGACAGGCATGTGCCACCATGCCTGGCTATTTTGGTTATTTTTAGTAGAGACGGGATTTCACCATGTTGACCAGGCTGGTCTTGAACTTCTGACCTCAGGTGGTCTGCCCACCTTTGCTTCCCAACGTGCTGGGATTATAGGCCTGAACCACTGTACCTGGCCTTTCTTTTTTTTTTTTTTGAGACAGGATCTTGCTGTGTCACCCAGGCTGGAGTGCACTGGCATCTGAGCTGGACTCACTGCAACCTCTGCCTCTAGGGCTCAGCCATCCTCTTGCCTCAGCCTCCCGAGTAGCTGGGATGACAAGCATGTCCCACCAAGCCCAGCTAATTTTTGTATTTTTTGTTGAGATGGTTTTTTGGCATGTTGCCCAGGCTGGTCTCCAACTCCTGGGCTCAAGTGATCTGCCCACCTCGGCCTCCCAGAGGGCTGGAATTATAGGTGTGAGCCACCTTACCTGGACAGCTTACCTTTTCTCAACTGCATGGAAGTTGGCTGGTTCACCCGGTATAAAATGAGCTCTGTAGTCTTTATTTATAACCTGTGTCCCAGGTTATGATGAGATCAGATGAGATACATATGTGAGTTCTGAAAAGAAAAATCACCAGTGTGTGCTATTGGTAGAAACCGGAACACCAGATTTGGTTAAAGTCTAATAGAGGCATAGCCCTTGCCCTGCCAATACTGGAATAGGCAATAATTGATATTTATGTAATGAAACATCCCCAGGCAGGTGGATCGAATCCCTGTGTTTTAATAATTATCATTCCAATTTACATTTCATCAGGGTTCCTGTTTATTTCTTCCTCTGCCTAACAGCCTCTTATTCTGAAGATTAAATTTGGAAGGTTTTTTTCATAAAGTGCCTTCTGGTTTGGTTTTCACTTGATTTAGTTTATTTACTTAGCGTGATAAACTAATTAACTGGGGATGTACTTTAAACAAAATTCTGAACAGGCGGCTTGGGTGTTGGTGTTCACATATAGTGAAGTAATTTCTATTGTGGGATTCTTTTATTTCTTTCAGAATTTCAATATGCTTTTTTTTAATTGACATTATAGAAATAATGAAAATAATAATAGCTGAAATGCATTGCATGAAGAGATTGTCAGCCTGGAGAAGATAATGAGAACATGAAAGAAATACAACTTTTCAAGGCCTGCAGTGGTTTCCAATAAAAAGTTTAATAAATACCAAGATATAACTGTTTTCACACTGGCTGATGGAAAAATGAAAGGGTGAAAGAAGTGAAAAATTGCTGAAGTGAAGCACCCGCCTGTCTTCGCTGGTTGATGTGCTGTTGTCACAGCTATTTAAGGTTGTTCTGAATCAGACACGAGAATCTTCAACAGAATTTACAGTCAACTGAGAGATTATGAACTGGATCAGTAACTACATCATAATTATTAGGTATGATTTTAAGTAGATTTAAATGAATCCTCATTAATCTATTGGGTTCAAAAATGTTATGGAGGATAACATTTCAATTTACCTATTATTTTAAAAGGTATTTTTCCTCCATCACCCTGGGGATGAATGTAGGACATTAATGGGGAAAATCGAAAATGCACATTTTCAGTGTAACCCTTTTTTCTATTTTTAAGACAGGGCCTTTATCTATCACCCAGGCTGGAGTGCAGTGGCACGATCACAGTTCACTGCAGCTTTGAAATCGTGGGCACAAGCAATTCAAACACCTCAGGCTTTCGAGTACCTAGGAGCACAGGCGTAGCCCACCACGCCTGGCTAATTATTCTATTTCTAGTAGATATGAACTCTCACTATGTCACCCAGGCTGGTCTGGAACTCTGGAGCTCAAGCAATTCTGCTTTGGTCTCCCAAAGTGCTGGGATTAGAGGTGTGAGCCACCACACCCAGCCTATTTTCTCTTTTTAAAGAGCAGTTATTGGAACAATGTGAATGGTTTAGGACATGGGCTTATAGGGGCGGCTGGGTAGAATGTGTGTCAGCTACTTGCTGGCCTCACCTTCCATGTTTCAGCACGTGTCTGGGCCTCTTGGAGAACAGCACTGACAGAATGTGCAGCCTGGGGCATCTGTCCATTGGGCTGAGGGGTGCGTTTGATAGGTCCTGAGAGGGAGGAATAAAGAAGAGTGAGCAAAGCATTTTCCACATTCTTGAGATTTAATCTGAAAATACAAGGCAGTTTACATCTCTAAAGCAAAGAAAGATACTTGCTGGCTACTTCTTTAAAAATAAGTAATAATAAATACAAAGTAAAGAAAGCAAGTCACAGGCATGGCATGGTGCACAAGACCTTATGAAAAATCTGAGGTTCTGTGAGAAAACTTTATATGAGATTCAGGAAGGTGAGTATGGTATTTTATAAACCCCACTGAGGAGGGTCTGGATTAACTGGGAACATGGAGAGGAATAGTAAGTTTTACTTTAGAAAACGTTTTCATAATTGAAAAATAAACTTTGAAAACCTATTTACCTTCAAAATAATTACTTTGTTGTTTTCCCTGAAATGTATTTTTCTAGTTTCATACCACACTGAGTACAGGAACAACTTTTGAACACTGTCCTCAACAAAGAGTACATTGGACAGAGACACAATAGATAGAGATTTGGGCACAATGTGGGGTTTCCTGAAATAACCTGTTATTAGATGTGTTCCCCAGCCCTCAAAGTCCTGGTATTGAAATTTTATTTTCTTGCCTTTTAATTTTTCCTTTTGACACAAAGCTTGACTCATGGAAGGTTTACAGCTGTGAGAGAATCAGATAGAAGAAGCTCTACATTGATTTCTTGGGTTCTTTACAAAGCATCCCATATAGGATGGAATCCTCTCCACACTCGGGCTATTTCTCCTGTAACTGAACTGCCGCCCAGCCCATGCTGAAGGTCTTCAGCTCCTCTCCCTGTGAACGCAGAGACGCTTTAGCCATGCTCAGCACCACTGTTCTGCCTGTTTATTTCTTAAACTAGTTTTCCAGTAATTTGAGAAACCTGTTAATCTACATGACAACTAAAAGAATGAGTTCAGGAGATTAGAAAATAAAGAAAAAAAAGGGAAAATTTGGCTGGGCTCTGGTGGGTCATTCCTGTAATCTCAGCCCTAGGGCAGGCTGAGGTGGGGGGATCACTTGAGGTCAGGAGTTGGAGAACAGAGTGGCCAATTTGGTGAAACCCCATCACTGCTAAAAATACAAAAAATGTAAGACCTACAACTATAATCCCAGGTGCTCGGAAGGCTGAAGCAGGAGAATTGCGTGAATGTGGAAAGCAAGGGTTGTAGCGAGCTGAGTTCATGACACAGCACCCCAGCCTGGGTGACAGAGTGAGACTCAGTCTCAGAAAAAAGAAAATAAAAGAATGATACAATGGTGTTTGGAAACTCAGGGGGAAACTAGGGGAAGCGAGAGAAAGATCAGAGACTACAAATTGGATTCCGTGTGTACTGCTTGGGTGAGATGCACTAAAACCTCACAAATCAACAGTAAGAAGTTAGTCAAGTAACTAAATACTACCTGTTTGTTTGCCAAAAATGTATCAAAAGAAACATTAAAAATTTTTTTGAAAACTGTGAAAATTGAGTACAGTATTTTCAAGTTACAAAGGCACATCTATCATGAGGCTTAATTATTTTAATGTTAAAAGAAATGAAGAGAACAAAATTTAAACAGAGAAGCAGTCAGACATTTCCTCTACAGCAATGAAATCTGTAGCATACATTTCGTATTCTGAAACTTAGCTTTCAGCCAGCCTGTGGGAAGAACAAGAGGACCCAGGACTCAGCATCGGGGTAGGAAGGAGGAAAGAAACCATCTGGACAAAGAAGGGAAAGAGAAGGGGTAGGGACTCGAGGCAGAGCCAGTCCTCCTGCTTGGGACCTGGGCCTAGGAAAATTAACTAGGGCAGAGGGAGGAGCCCCAGGCTGTGGATGCCTCTGGGGGGAACTTTACATCACTAGGGCCAGAGGAGGTCCTGAGTCCTAGGGGTATCCATAGCCTCCCTACCTTTGGTTGTCTTCTGGTCGACAACGTCCCGCAAGTCACGACACTTGCTGGCTCCCAAATCCGACTGGGCAGGCTCCAAAGCAGTGGGGTCTGGCACTACTGTCACTTCCACCTCGTAGATCTCAGAGCTGCAGGGCTGCTCCTTTCACATCACCCTGAGCTGGTCCCGCTTGGGGCTGGCATTGGGGTACAGCGTGTTCCAGGCACTTCTGCTCCTTTCTGCAGGGGTCTGTGCCTTTGCTGACTGTGAACTCATAACTAGGAGCCTCAGGATGGCTTCACAGAACTCCTGTGGGGGCTCTGCCTGGGCTTGACTTTGGTGCACATGTGACAGCTCAGTGTGTTCCCCATGGGGCAACTCTGATTTTCTTGGGCACCTGAGCCTCTGCCTGCCCATATGTCTGCAGAGCTCCACACCTACTGACTCTTCCTGGCAAGGCACGGCTGGCCTGGACAGCCCTGGACCATGGGGCTGTACCCTCCTTGCAGCCTGCACCCACCCTCACCTGGCCATCCTGAGCTGACTTCTCTGCAGCAGTCAGAATCTGCCTGGTTGATTTAGAATGGGCCTGGATGCACCAAACCTGACAGCTATGACTGCAGAAGGAGAGAGCACAGAGGAGCTCCTCATCCTCCATCACTACCCATGAACTGATGATCCCCCAATGTAGTCCCCCAACTGAAGACCACAAACTGAGGGCACAAAACCAAGGCAGCCAATGAGGGCAGCCACTGAAGGCCTCCAGGTGAACGCCGGTTGACCTGCCAACCAGACTGTTTTCTGGTTAAGAGGAAGCAATCATGCCCAGGGCACCTCCATACTTCCCTTCAGAGTCAGAACTTGAAGGCGTAGGTACAAGCCTTACTATGCCCTGCCCTGCCTGTGGTCCCACCCCACCTTTCACTCATTGCTGGCTGCTGGGAGCTTTCAGATTTCTCACTGTGCTGACGTTCCTAGGGATCATCACCTTACAATGAATGATGCTAAAATTACTGAAACAAAATCTGCCTCATGCACTAGCTGGGATTCATAGAACCTCCTTTCCCTTATTACCTCTGAGCTTTCTAGAAACTGGAAAAATGACAGAGTTCTGCATGTGCTTTCCGAAAAACACACTGCCATGACTTAAGGTTACCCTACAATGTAAAATGTTTTATATATTCAATACATAAATATTCAAATTACCTTTTTTTGAAAACAACACACATATTCAATGTAATTAACAAGATAAATAGAGAAAATTTCTACACTAAGCTCATCAATTTTGTCACACTCACTTTCATATAGCAACTTAAAATTTATGGTTTCAACAAAGAAAGGGGCTTATAGAAGAGAAAACCACCCTGTTAATACAAGATTTTAAATGTGATCCTCGTTGCTACTAATAAATAACAATTAACCAGTATGTATTGTGAACTGCCTCGTGACTATGGTAACTTATTTATTCTCTCTGACTCTTGGCTTGATTATCTACAAAATACAATACCAATTTTATAAGCTTTCTCTGAAAATTAGATAACAGAAAAAGAATCCTCCTTTATATATTGAACACTTACCAATGTATAGGCATTGTGTCAAGATTTTTACACACTTACCTTATGAAAGCCACATAACAACCCCATGTTTTAAATTACATACAGTATGCCAAGATTTTTACATACTTACCTTATAGAGGATACATAATACCCTCATCTTTTAAATTACAGGCATTATGCCCAGATTTTTACACACTTACCTTATGAAAGCCAAGTAGCAACTTCATATTTTAAATTATATTCATTATGGCCATATTTTTACACACTTACCTTATGGAGGCCACGTTACAACTTCATCTTTTAAATTACAGGCATTATACCCAGGTTTCTACACACTTACCTTATGGATGCCATGTAACAACTTCACATATTAAACTACAGTAATTATGCCCATGTTTTTACACACTTACCTTATGAAAGTCACGTAACAACTTCACAGTTTACAGTCATTATGGCCAGATTTTTAAACACTTACCTTATGGAAGCCACATAACAAATCCACATTTTAAATTTTGGTCATTATGGCCAGATTCTTACACACTTACCTTATGGAAGCCACATAACAACCCCATGTTTTAAATTACATACAGTATGCCCAGATTTTTACACACTTACCTTATGGAGGATACATAATAACCTCATCTTTTAAATTACAGGCATTATACCCAGATTTTTACACACTTACCTTATGAAAGCCAAGTAACAACTTCATATTTTAAATTACATTCATTATGGCCATATTTTTACACACTTACCTTATGGAGGCCACGTGACAATTTCATCTTTTAAATTACATGCATTATGCCCAGGTTTTTGCACACTTACCTTATGGAAGCCACGTAACAAATCCACATTTTAAATTATAGTCATTATGGCCAGATTTTTACACACTTACCTTATGGAGGCCACATAACAACTTTGTTTTTTAAATACCAGGCATTATGGCCAGATTTTTACACACTTACCTTATGGAGGCCACGTAACAACTTTGTTTTTTAAATACCAGGCATTATGGCCAGATTTTTACACACATACCTTATGGAAGTCACATAACACTCCCATCTTTTATTGATGAGCAGACTGAGGCTCAACCAAGTTAAAAACTCATTCCCCACCACATCATAATGAGTGATGGAAACCGGATGCAAATTCCATTCTGTCTGACAGCAAAGGTGATGCAACGTAACAGAGACTGAGTTGTACCCAGCATATGGAGGGAGTCACAACACGTGGGTTCCCTTTCTCCACCCTTTCATGTGTGAATTTCATTAGTTTTTATGGCTTCAGAACAATCCTAAACTCCCTCCCAGGTTGCCTTGCAGTGGTTCCCTTTTTCTTGGGGATGATTACTAAGCTGCATATTTAGACCACATATTTAGCTCCTTATAAACAGGTGCTTTGATTAAGAAAAGACATTTTCTAAGCCAAGAGATGTGTTGATCATGAAATAAAATTTTCTAGTCCCTAGGTTACTAATGGTGAATTGTCTAGCTTCTCTAAAAAATATATTGCTATTCCAGATTTAAAAAAATGACAGGATCCACAGAATTTGTGCAGAAAGATTTAGAACTATGCTGCAGGAGCACCTTACTGACAGCTGTGCAGGAAGACCAGGCTATACACACAAAAGCAATAGCACCTCCAAGGGCCAGGGGTGGTGGCTCCTGCCTTTCACCCTAGCAATGTGGGAGGCCAAAGTGGATGGATCACTTGAGGCCAGGAGTTGGAGACTAGCCTGGGCAACACAGTGAGACCCTGTCTCTACAAAATATCATTTTATATGACTGCACTCAAGAAGAGCGCCTCTAATATTGCTTTGTGATAAAGAAATCTGGTGCAGAATTCGAGATGTGAAATTTTGAGTCTTACCGTCGCACTTAAGTTTAACTAGAAAAGCTGTCAGACACTTTCTCTACAGCAATGAAATCTATAGCTTATATTTTATATTTTGAAAACCCAGTTTTCAGGAAGCCTGGGCAAAATGAAGAGGAAACAGAACTGGGCATTGACATAGGAAGAAAGAATTGGTGGGACTCGAGGCAGTCAGTCCTGCTTGGGGCCTGGGGCTGGGAAAGCTAACAGGTGAGAGAGCCCAGGCTGTGGATGTCTTTGGGGGGAACCTTGAGTCAGCAGTGGCCTCAGGAGCTCCTGCTGTATCCAATCTTTTGTAGGTGAGCATAACATAACACATAGATGAGCCAAGCAGTATTCGTTGCCTCCCTACCTTTGGTTGTCTTCTTGTCTGGAATGTGCTGCAAGTCAGGACCCTGGCCAGCTCCCAAACCCAACTGGGCAGGCCTCAAAGCAGTGGGGTCTGGTGCTACTGCCACCTCCACATCATGGATAATGGAGCATCAGAATGGTTCTGCTCGCCACACTCTGGCATTGTGGGACAACATGTTCTGGGTGCCCCTTTTTTTCTCTGCTGGTGTCTCCACCTTTTCTGACCTTCACTCATAGATGTCAGAGTCCCAGGATGGCTTCATAGAACCCCGCTTCAGCCCTGCCTGGTGCTGCCTTTGGTGTACATGAGATACTTAAGTATGGTCCCCTTGGGGCAACTCTGCTCTTCTCAGGCAGCTTAGGCCTTCACTTGCTTCCACGTCTTCAGAGATCAGAACATGCCGCCTCTTCACAGCAAAGTCACGCTGGCACGGGCAAGCCCCCAGATGTAGGGATGCATCCCACTTAAATCTCACAACTTACCTTACCCCCCTACCTTGAGCTGACCTGTCTGTAAAAGTTGCTAACCCGCCTGGTTTATTTAGAGTGGGCCTAGGTGCAACAAGTCTGAGAACAGTGATGGTAGGAAGAGAGCACAGATGGAGCTCCTTCACCTTCCACCACTGCCAAACCAACTGAAGACCAACAACTGAAGAGCACCAACTGAGGGCACTGAACAAAGGCAACCAATGAAGGCACCCACTGAAGGCCACCAGGTGAGGGCGCGTTGCCCTGCCAACCAGACTGCATCCTGGTTATGAGGACACAATCAGGCCCAGAATCCCTTCCATGTGTCCCTGCCAACTTGGAACTTGAGAGACCAGGCAGGTGGTTCACAGAGCTCCATCCTGCGAGCCACTGCATTCCACGTTTCATCATTCATTCCTAGCTGTTAAGACCTTTCAGGTTTCTCACTGTCTTGGAGTTCCTAGGGATTATCACCTTACAATGAATCATGCTAAAATTCCTGAAGCCAAATCTGGCTCTTGCACTAGCTGCAATTTATAGAACCTCCTTTCCCCTGTAACCTCTGAGTTTTTAATTAACTACAAAAATGACAGATTTCTGCAGGTGCTTTTAGAAAAAACATTGCCAGGAGCTAAGTCTACTGTGTGATGTCTAATTATGTTTCACATATATATACATATGCATTCAACCCATTCATATTCCATTTACATTTTTGAAATAAACCTATATATTCAATCAAATTAAAAAGAGCAATAGAAGACATTTTCTAAATTTATCCACTATGTATATCACAGTTTCCTAATGAGCACTTTATACAGCAACTTAGTATTGATGGCTCCAACAAATAAAGAGGCTTACATAAGAGAAAAGCATTGTCTTAATACAAGATTTTAACTGTGATCACCATTGCTACTTTCCACAGGCAGTTGCCCAGTAGATGGATTGTGAACTGCTCTGTGACGATAGTGACTCATTGAATCTTTCAGATCCTTGGTTTGATTATGTCAAAAATATGAGCAACACCAGTTTTATAAATTTGCTCTAAAAATGAAATGAGAGAAAAATAATCCTCCTTCTGTTTATAATGAAGACTTACAAAATTATAGGCACTGTGTCCAGATTTTTACACACTTACCTTATTGAATCCTTAAAACAACCCTTTAAATTACAGTCATTTGTGCCCACACCAATTTATATACATTTATATTATGGAAGCCTCTAAATAATCCCATCTTTTATAGATGAGTACAATGAGGTTCAGAGGAGTTAAAAGCACATTCACCATCACATGCTAATGAGTGATGAACTGGGATTCAAATCCAGTTCTCCCTGACGCCATAGGTACTGCAACTTAACAATGATCAAGTTATACTCAGGACATGGAGGCAGTCGGAACATGTGGATTCCCTTTCTCTACCCTCTTATGTGTGAATTTGAATGGCTTTCATGGCCCCATAACCAACCTAAACTCCCTCCCAGGTTGCCTTGCAGTGGTGCCCTTTCTCCTGGAAATGACAAGGAATCTGCATATTTAGACTACAAGCATCTCCTTAGAAACAGCTTTGTTGATGGAGAAATGAAATTTTTGGCCAGGGATGGTGGCTCTCGCCTGTACTTTGGGAAGCCAGGGTGGGCAGATGTCCTGAGGGCAGGAGTTCAAGATGAGACTGACAAACATGGTGGAACTCCACCTCTACTAAAAAGTACAAAATTAGCTGAGAGTCTGGCAAATGCCTCTAATCCCAGCTACTCAGAAGGCAAAGGGAGGAGAATTGCTTGAATCCAGGAGGCAGAGTGTAGTGTCACTACACTCCATCCTGGGAAGTAAGAGCAAAATTTTATCTCAAGAAAAATACAAAAATTTCTAGGACTTAGGTTACTAACTGTGAATTGTCTAGTTTATCTGCAATAAGCAAAGGTAACATTACATGTAAAATGTCACAGGATCCACTAAATTTTTCCAGAAAGATTTGGAATGATGCTGTTGGAGCATCTCACTGATAGCTGGGTAGGAGGAGCAGTGGAAACACGCAAAGCAAGAGCACCTGCAAAGTCCAGGTGTGCTGGTTTTTTCCTATCTGCTCAGCAATGTGGGAAGCCAAGGTGGGTGGATCACTGGACACCAGGAGTTTGAGACCAGCCTGAGGAACACAGTGAGACCCTGCCTCTACAAACAATTTTTTAAGGATTAGAATAAAGAAGAGTACCTTTGACCCTCTCTGATCTTGCTTTAAAATACAGAGCGCTAGTACAGAAATAAAGATATAAAATTGTGTGTCCATATAGGGTTATTCAAGTTTAAAGAGAAGAAATGTCAAACATTACCTCTACAGCAATGAAATCTGTAGCATTCATTTTGTGGTTTGGAAACTTAGTCTGGCCAGCCTGGGGGAAGCAGAAGAGGTCCCAGAACTCAGAATTGGGGTAGGAAGGAGGAAGAAAACTGGATGAACCCAGCAGGGAACCAAGATCAGCTGGGAAGGCAAGGCAGACCCAGTCCTTTTGCTTGTGGCTTGAGCCTAAGAAAGCTAACTAGGGGAAGGAGAGAGGAGCCCCATGCTGTGGATGCCTCCAGGTGCAACCTTGGGTCAGCAATGGCCAGAGAAGCTCCTGAGGCCAAGCAGTGTCTGTCGCCTCCCTACCTTTGGGTGTCTTCTGGTTGCCGATATGCTGCAAGGCAGGACCCTCTCCGGCTCTGAATTCTAACTGTGCAGGCTCCAAAGCAGTGAGGTCTTGCATACTGCCACCTTCACGTGGTAGATCTCAGAGTGTCAGGACGTCTCTTCCCACTGCACCCTGAGCCTGCCCCGCTTGGGGCTGGCATTGGTACAGTGTGTTCCGGGTGCCTTTGCTCCTCTCTGCTGGATCTTGGCTCTTTGTTAGCCACCAACTCAGATGTCAGAGCCCAGACTGGCTCCGATGAACCCCTGCACCAGCGAAGTCTCGGACTGTCTTTGGTGCGTGTGGTCAGCGTGATCCACAAGGGGCAGCTCAGCACATCTCAGGCAGCTTGGGCCTTCACTGGCCCCCATGTCTGCAGACCTCAGCACCTGCCACCTCTTCCCAGCATAGGCATATCTTTCATAGGTGGCACCAGGCCATGGAGCTGCATATCACTAGCAGCCCCCACCCTGCTCACCCCGTCACCCAGAACTGACTTATCTGCAACAGCCACCACCCTGCCTGGTTTATTCAGAATGGGCCTGGATGCAACAAGCCTGAGTGCTGTGACTGCAGGAGGAGAGAACATCGATGGAGCTCCTTTCGCCGCTGCCCAACAACTCAAGGCAACCAACTGAAGACCACCAGCTGAGGGTGCCAAGGCAAGGCAACCAATGAGGGCACCCAGTGAAGGCCACCAGGTGAAGGCCAGTTGCCCTGCCATCCAGACTGCATCCTGGTGTAGAGGAAACAATCAGGCCGAGAGTCCCCTGCATGCCTCTCCCTAAACTTGGAACTTGAGAGCACAGGCACATGGCTCCAAGGCCCTGCCCTGCTATTAGCCCACTCCACATTTTACTCATTGCTGGCTGCTGGGTGCTTTCAGGTTTCTCACTGTGCTGAGGTTCCTAGGGATCATTGCCTTATAATGAATGATGCTACAATTACTGAAACCAAATGTGCCTCATGCAGTGTCTTGGATTCATAGAACCCCCTTTCCCCCATAACCTCTAAGCTTCATAGAAACTAGAGAAATGACAGATTTCTGCATGTGCTTTCAGAAAGAAACATTGCCATGACTTATGGCTACCCTCTAATGTAAAGTTTTAAGCATATACATACACACAAATGTATTCAATAGATATATATTCAATTTACATTTTTTTGAAAATAACACACACATTCAAGCAAATTAAGACTAATAGAGGAAATTTTCTAAAATGTATACACTAAGCTTTATCACAATTTTCTATTGCTCACTTTCATGGAACAACTTAAAATTCATGGTTTCTTATGTAAGAAAGAGGCTTATGTAAGAGAAGCCACCACATAATACAGTATTTTAAACGTGATCCTCCTTGCTGTAATAAATAACAATTACCCAGTATGTATTGTGAACTGCTTTGTGACTATGGTGACATTCAATCTCTCTGATTCTTAGTTTGGTTAACTGCAAAATATAACAACAATTTTATAAACTTGCTCTAAAAATTAGATGAGAGAAAAATAATTCTCCTTCTGCATATATGGAACACTTACCAATTTATAGACGTCGTGTCCAGATTTTCACACACTTACCTTACGGAGGCCACATAACAACCCGAAGTTCTAAGTTACAGTCATTATGCCCAGATTTTACACACTTACCTTATGGAAGGCCCAGAACCACCTCATGTTTTAAATTACAGGCATTGTGGCCAGAGTTTTATACACATAACTCATGGAAGTCTCATTTTTTACAGATGAGCAAACTGAGGCTCGCTGGCATTAGAAACACATTTCCTACCATGTCATAATGAGTGATGGAATTGGGATTCAAATCCGGTTCTTTCTGACAGCAAAGGTTGTGCAACATAAGGAAGATGAGTTGTGCCCAGCAGATGGAGGAGTGAAAACGTGGATCCCTTTCTCTACCCTTTGTTGTGTGAGTTTCATTGTTTTTTACGGCCTCAGAACAATCCTAAACTCCTTCCCAGGTTGCCTTGCAGTGGTCCCCTTCTTCTGGGGATGATTACTAAGCTGCATATTTAGACCACAGATTTAGCTCCTTATAAACAGGTGCTCTGATTAAGAAAAGACATTTTCTAGACCAAGAGATGTGTTGATCACGAAACTAAATTTTCTAGGCCCTAGGTTACTAACTGTGAATTGTCTAGCCTTTCTATAAAACATAGGGCTATTCCATGTAAAAAAGTCACAGGATCCACTGAATTTGCAGAGAGATTTAGAACCATGCTGCGGGAGCATCTTCCTGACAGCTGTGCAGGAAGACAAGACTATACACACAAAACAAGAGCACCTCCAAAGGCCAGGTGTGGTGGCTCCTGCCTGTCACCCTAGCAATGTGGGAGACCAAGGTGGGCAGGTCACTTGAGGCCAGGAGTTTGGGACTAGCCTGGGTAACACAGTGAGACCCTGTCTCCACAGAAAATCATTTTATAAGATTAGAATCAAGAATAGTGCCTCTAGCATCACTTTATGATAATGGGGCATGGTGTGGAATTTAAGATATGAAATTGTAAGTCTCACCATTGCTACTTAAGTTTAACCAGAAAAGCTGTCAGACATTTTCTCTATCCAAAGAAATTTGTAGCTTACATTTTAAATTTTGACAACTTAGTATTGAGGAAGCCTGGGGCAAGATGAAGACGAAATTGAACTGGGTATTGGGTTAGGAAGAAAGAAGAATGGGTGGGGACTCGAGGCAGAGCCAGTCTTCCTGCTTGGGGCCTGGGGCTGGGAAAGTTAACAAGGGACAGGAGGGAGAGCTCCAGGCTGTGGATGTCTTTCAGGGGAAGCTTGAGTCAGCAGTGGCCTCAGGAGCTCCCGCTGTATACAATTTTTTATAGATCAGCATAACATAACATATAGATGAGCCAAGCAGTATTTGTTGCCTCCCTACCTTTGGTCGTCTTCTGGTTGCCAACGTGCTGCAAGTCAGGACCCTGGCCAGCTCCCAAACCCAACTGGGCAGGCCCCAAAGCAGTCAGGTCAGGAGACACCCCCACTTCCACCTCCTAGATCTTGGAGCATCAGGATGATTTAGCTCACCACACTGTGAGCTGGCCCTGCCTGGGTCTGGCATTGTGGGACAGCATGTTCTGGGTGCCTCTGCTCCTCTCTTCTGGTGTCTCTGCCTTTTCTGGCCACTCACTCATAGATGTCAGAGTCCCAGGATGGCTTCGCAGAACCCCTATTTTGGCCCTGCCTGGTGCTGCCTTTGGTGCATATGAGATACTACAGGGTGGTCCCCTTGGGGCAACTCTGTTCTCAGGCAGCTTGGGCCTTCACTCGCTTCTACGTCTGCAGATGTCAGAACATGCCGCCTCTTCCCAGCAAAGTCACACTGGCACAGGCAACCCTGGCCATAGGGCTGTATCCCACTGGCAGTTCACATCTTATCTCACCCACCTACCTTGAGTTGACTTGTCTGTAAAAGTCGTGAACCTGCCTGGTTTATTTATAGTGTGCCTTGGTGCAACAAGCCCGAGAACTGTGACTTTAGGAGGAGAGAGTACAGGAGGAGCTCCTTCTCCTTCCACCACTGCCAAACCAACTGAAGACCAACAATTAAAGGGCACCAACTGAGGGCACTAAGCAAAGGTAACCAATGAAGGCACCCTCTGAAGGCCACCAGGTGAGGGCCGGTTGCCCTGCCAACCAGTCCGTATCCTGGTGAAGAGGAAACAATCAGGCCCAGAGTCCCCTCCACGTGTCCTTGCCAACTTGGAACTTGAGAGACCAGGCACGTGGCTTATAAGGTCCCATCCTGCCAGCCACCGCATCCCACCTTTCATTCATTCCCGGCTGCTAAGAGCTTTTGCGTTTTTCACTGTGTTGAAGTTCCTAGGGATTATTACCTTACAATAATTGATGCTAAAATTCCTGAAGCCAAATCTGGCTGTTGCACTAGCTGGAATTCATAGAACCTCCTTTCCTCCATAACCTCTGAGTTTTTTACAAACCACAAAAATGACAGATTTCTGCACGTGCTTTCAGAAAAAAAATTGCTATGAGCTAAGTCTACTGTGTGATGTCTAATTATATTTCACATATATACACACATATACATATACATTCAATCTGTATATCTTCCATTTATATTTTTGAAATTTACCTACATATTCAATCAAATTAACAAGAACAATAGAGCACATTTTCTAAATTTATACACTAAGTTTATCACAGTTTCCTGATGACCACTTTATACAGAAACTTAGAATCGATGGCTTCAACAAACAAGAGCCTTTTGTAAGAGAAAAGCATTCTCCTAATACAAGATTTGATATGTGATCAGCATTGCTATTTTCAATGACCCAATAAATGTATTGTGAACCGCACTGTAACTATTGTGACTAATAAATGTATTGTGAACCGCACCGTAACTATTGTGACTAATAAATGTATTGTGAACCGCACTGTAACTATTGTGACTAATAAATGTATTGTGAACCGCACCGTAACTATTGTGACTAATAATGTATTGTGAACCGCACTGTAACTATTGTGACTAATAAATGTATTGTGAACCGCACCGTAACTATTGTGACTAATAAATGTATTGTGAACCGCACCGTAACTATTGTGACTAATAAATGTATTGTGAACCGCACTGTAACTATTGTGACTAATAAATGTATTGTGAACCGCACTGTAACTATTGTGACTAATAAATGTATTGTGAACCGCACTGTAACTATTGTGACTCATTTAATCTTTCAGATCCTTGGTTTGATTATCTCAAAAATATAAGTAACACCAGTTTTTATAAACCTCCTCTAAAAATTAAAGAAAAAATCCTCCTTCTCTGTAGAATGAAGACTTACAAAATTATAGGCATTGTGTCCAGATTTTTACACACTTACCTTATTGAAGCCTTAAAAAACCCTATCCTTTAAATTACAGGCATTTTGTCCACACCAAGTTTTATACCCTAATATTATGGAAGACTCATAATAATCCCATTTTTTATAAAGGAGCAAAATGAGGTTCAGGGGAGTCAAAAATACATTCATCATCACGTCCTAATGAGCGATGGAACTGGGATTCAAATCCAGTTCTCTCTGACGCCAAAGGCAGTGCAACATAACCAAGGCCAAGTTATACTGAGCACGTGGAGGCAGTCAAAACATGTGGATGCCCTTTCTCTACCCTCTTATGTGTGATGTGGAATGGCTTTCATGGCCTCATAACTAACCTAAACTCCCTCCCAGGTTGCCTTGCCGTGGTTCCCAACCTTTTAGAAATGACTAGAAATCTGCATATTTAGACTACAAGCATCTCCTTAGAAAGAGGTTTGTTGATTGAGAAATGAAACTTTTGGCCAGGGATGGTGGCTCTCGCCTGTACGTTGGGAAGCCAGGGCGGGCAGATGTCCTGAGGTCAGGAGTTTGAGAGAAGCCTGACCAACATGGTGCAACTCCATCTCTACTAAAAAGGACAAAATTAGCTGAGTGTGTGGTGAATGCCTCTAATTAAAGCTACTCAGAAGGCTAAGGCAGGAGAAACACTTGAACCCAGGAGGCAGAGGTTGCAATGACCTAAGATGCTCTCATTGCACTTTATTCTGGGCAACCAGAGCCAAATTTTATCTCAAAAAAATAGATATAAAATTTCTAGGACCCAGATTATTAAATGTGAATTACCTAGTTTATCTGCAATAAGCAAAGGTATTATTTCACGTAAAATGTCACAGGATCCACTGAATTTGTCTAGAAAACTTTGGAATGATGTCTCAAGAGCATCACACTGACAGCTGGGTAGGAGGAGCAGTGGAAACATGCAAAGCAAGAGCACCTCCAAAGTCCAGGTGTGCTGGTTCTTGCCTATCTGCTCAGCAATGTGGGAAGCCAAGATGGTATCACTTGACACCAGGAGTTTGAGACCAGCCTGGAGATCACAGAGAGACCCTGCCTCTACAAAAAAAATTTTTTTTAGATGATTAGAATCAAGAGGACATGCCTCTGACCCTCTGATATTGCTTTAAAATACAGAGCTCTAATCCAGATATCAAGAAATGAAATTGTGAGTCCCAAGAAGGCTATTTAAGTTTAAATAGAAGAAATGTTAGATACTTTTTCTATAGCAACGAAATCTGTGGCATTCATTTTGTAGTTGGAAACTTAGTTTCTGGCCAGCCTGGGGGAAGCAGATGAGGTCCCAGAACTCAGAATCGGGTAGGAAGGATGAAGGATACTGGATGGACCCAGCAGGGAACCGAGATAAGCTGGGAAGGCAAGGCAGACCCAGTCCTTTTGCTTGTGGCCTTAGCCTAAGAAAGCTAACTAGGGGAAGGAGGGGGGAGCCCCATGCTATGGATGCCTCCAGGTGCAACCTTGGTTGAGCAATGGCCAGATAAGCTCCTGAGGCCAAGCAGTGTCTGTCGCCTCCCTACCTTTGGGTGTCTTCTGGTCGCCAATGTGCTGCAAGTCAGGACGGTCTCTTGCTCCCAAATCCAACTGTGCAGGCTCCAAAGCAGGAGGTCTGGTATACTGCCACTTCGGTGTGGCAGATCTCAGAGTCTCACGATGTCTCTTCCCACTGCACCCTGAGCTTGCCCCGCTTGGGGCTGGCATTGGGGTACAGGTTGTTCCGGGTGCCTCTGCTCCTCTCTGCTGGGGCTCGCCTCTTTGTTAGCCACCAATTAACATGTCAGAGCCCAGATTGCCTTTGATGAATCCCTATGCTGGCCATGCCTCGGGCTGTCTTTGATGCATGTGGTCAGCGTGATCCACAAGGGGCAGCTCAGCACATCTCAGGCAGCTTGGGCCTTCACTGACCCCCACGTCTGCACTGCTCAGCACCTGCCACTTCTTTCTAGCATAGGCACGGCTGGCACAGGTAGCACCCAGGCCATGGAGCTGCACACCACTAGCAGCCCCCACCCTGCCTCACCTGCTCACCCTGAGCCAACTTATCTGCAACAGCCACCACCCTGCCTGGTTTATTCAGAATGGGCCTGGATGCTGTGACTGAGAACTGAGAGCTGTGACTGGGGGAGGAGAGAACATTGATGGAGGTCCTTCCACAGCTGCCCAACAACTCAAGGCCACCACCTGAAGACCACCAGCTGAGGTTACCAACCCAAGGCAACAAATGGGGGCACCCAGTGAAGGCCACCAGGTGAAGGCCAGTTGCCCTGCCATTCAGACTGCATCCTGGTTAAGAGGAAACCATCAGGCCCAGAGTCCCCTGTATGCCTCCCCCTAAACTTGGAAGATGAGAGCACAGGCACATGGCTCCAAGGTCCCGCTCTGCCATTGGACCCACCCCCCCACCCCTTTAATTCATTGCTGGCTGCCTGGAGATTTCAGTGTTCTCACTGTGATGACATTCCTAGGGATCATCATCTTACAATGAATGATGTTAAAATTACTGAAATCAAATCTGCCTCATGCACTATCTGGGATTCCTAGAACCCCTTTTCCTCCATAAGCTCTGAGATTTTTAGAAACGAAAAAAAAGACAGATTTCTGCACTTGCTTTCAGAAAAAAACCTTGCGAGGAGCCATGCCTACTCTATAATGTGAAGTCATATTTCATATATATGTATAGATACATCCAATTCACATATATTCGTTTTACACTTTTGAAAATAACATACATATGCAATCAAATTCACAGGACTACCCAAAGAGTTCCCTCTAGGCGATGGCCTGTATTTGTGAGGTGGGAGTCTGGGCACTGGCTCATAAAGCCCCCGCCCCAACTACCCCATCCTACCTTTCGTTATTGGTAGCTGGTAGCAACTTTCTTTACTGTGAATTATAAATATGAATTCTGGTGAAATTTTTGTATCCTAACGTACCTCAAGTACATCCTGACTTTCAAAGACCCTCATACCTCATGGCCTCTGAGTTTTCTGGGAACTACACAGAATGCAATTTCTGCAGGTGCTTTCAGAAAAAACAGTGCCATGAACTGAGATTATTCTGTGATCTTTTGATCTATATGATATATATATATATAATTGATACCATATATGAAAAATGTTAATATATATTCACAATTATATTCTTAATTTTCAATACACATATTAAGAAAATTAAGACAGAAAAATTTTCAAAATTTATATACTAAGAGCAACATGTTTTTCAAATGATGAATTTGATAGAACAATTTCGAATCTATGGTTTTAACAAATTGGGAGGCTTAGGTAAGATAAAAGCACCATATAATGCAAGATTTTCATTGTGGTCATCATTACTTTTTTTTTTTTTTTTTTTTTTTTTTTAGATAAAATTTCACTCTTCTTGGCCAGGCTGGAGAGCAATGGCACAATCTCGATTTAGTGCAACCTTCACCTCCTGGGTTCAAACAATTCTCCTGCCTCAGCCTCCCGAGGAGCTGAGATTATAGGCATGCAACACCATACTCAGCTAATTTTGGGTTTTTAGTAGAGACAGGGTTTCCTCATGTTGGTCAGGATGGTCTTGAACCCGGATCTCAGGTGATCCGCCACCTAGGCCTCCCAAATTGCTGGGATTACAGGACTGAGCCACTGCACCTGGCCCATTTCTACTTTTAACTAGCACTTACCCAGTAAATATATTGTGAATTGCTTCCTGACTGGTGATTTATTTAAACTTACTGATTTTTTGATTATCTTAAAAATATTTATAATACCAATTTTATATACTTGTCCAAAAGTTAAAGAAAAATAATCCTTCTCCATATATTGAACAATCACAAAATTAAAGACATCGTGTACAGATTTTTACTTACCTTATTGAAATCAAATAACTTTGTCTTTAAATTACAAGCATCATTCCGAGATTTATACACACTTACCTTATGCAGTTCTCATAACAACCCCACCTTTGACAGATGAGCAAACTGAGGCTCAGAGGAGTTAAAAGCACATTGACCATCACGTCATAATGAGTGATGGAACTGGGATTCAAATCCAGTCCTCCCTGCCTCAAAGGTGGTGCAACTTTACAAAGACCAAGTTACACCCAGCACGTGTAGGATCAAAACATGCGGATTCCCTTTCTCTACCCTCTTACGTGTGAATTTCAATGGTTTTCACGGCCTCAGAACAATCCTAAACTCCCTTCCAGGTTGCCTTTCAGTGGATCACTTCTCCTTGGGGATGATTAGGAATCTGCATTTTTGGACCACAAGCATCTATAAACAGTTGTGGTTCATCATAAAATAAAACTTTCTAGGCCATAAGATACTAACTGTGAATTGTTTAGCTTCTCTTCTACAAATAATAGGCTATTCTATGTTAATAAATCACAGAATCCACTGAATTTTTGCAGAAAGATTTGAAACGGTGCTGCAGGAGGATCTTCCTGACAGCTGCGCAGGAAGACCAGCTGAAATACACAGAGCAGGAGCCCCTCCAAAGCCCAGGTGTGGTGGTTCTTGCTTGTCAGCCCAGCAACGTGGGAGGCCAAGGTGGGTTAATCACTTGAGACCAGGAGTTTGAGAACGGCCTGGGCAACACTGTGAGACCCTGTCTCTATATAAAAAAAAAACACTTTTCATGAGTAGAAACAAGAAGAGAACCTCTGACATTACTTTAGTTAGAGCTCCGGTCTAGAATTGAACATATGAAATTGTGATTCCTAGAGCCAGTCCTCTAGCTCGGGGCCTGGCGAGCAAGTAAAGCGAACCAGGAGCAGGAGGGAGGAGCCCCAGGTTGTGGCTGTTTCCGGGGGGAACCCTTGGGTCAGCAATGCCTAGAGGAGCAACTGAGAGCCAGTGGTATCTGTGTCCTCCCTACCTTTGGATGTCTTCTGGTCGCCGCTGTGCTGCAGGTCAGGGTCCCCGCATCAGATTGGGCAGGCTCCAAGCAGAGGTGTCTGGCGCTGCTCCCACCTTCACCTCCACCTCCTGGATCTCAGAGCCTCAGGATGGCTCCGCCCACCTCAGCCTGAGCTGGCCCCGCTTGGGGCTGGCATTGGAAAACAGCTCCACTGTGGCTACTTAAGTTTAAAGAGAAGAGGTGCCAAGGCCGGGCCCGGTGGCTCACGTCTGTAATCCTAGCACTTTGGGAAGCCGAGGCGGGTGGATCACGAGGTCAAGGATCAGAGCATCCTGGTCAACATGGTGAAACCCCGTCTCTAGTAAAAATACAAAAAATTAGCTGGGCATGGTGGCGCGTGCCTGTAGTCCCAGCTACTCAGGAGGCTGAGGCAGGAGAATTGCCTGAACCCAGGAGGCGGTGGTTGTGGTGAGCCGAGATCGTGCCATTGCACTCCAGCCTGGGTAACAAGAGCGAAACTCCGTCTTCAAATAAATAAATAAAAATTAAAAAACAAAAAACAAACAAACAAACAAACAAAAAAAAAAACAGAAAGTGCCAGACGTTTTCTCTACAGCAGTGAAATCTGTAGCATCCATTCTGTATTTGTAAACTTAGTTTTCGGCCACCTGTGGGAAGAAGAAGAAGTCCCAGAACTGGGCACTGGGGTAGGGAAGAGGAAGGAAACCGGCCAGACACAACAGGCAAAGAAGAAAGGGTGGGGACTCGAGGCAGAGCCAGTCTTCCTGCCTGGGAGCTGGGCCTAGGAAAGCTAACAGGGGGTGGGAGGGAGGAGCCCCGGGTTGTGGATGTCTCTAGGGGGAACTTTGGATCAGCAACGGCCAGAGGATTCCTGAGGCCAAGCGGTATCCATTGCCTCCCTACCTTTGGGCATCTTCTGGTGGCCAGTGTGCTCCAAAGCAGTGGGGTCAGGCACTAGAGCCATCTCCATCTTGTAGATCTGAATCGAAGCTGAAGAACGGCTCCGCCCCGCTCACCCTGAGCCGGCAACGCTTGGGGCTGGCATTAGGGTACAGCGCGTTCAGGGCGCCTGTAACTCCTCTCTGCTGGGGCTGCCCCTTTGCTGGCCACCCACTCATAGACGGCTGTGCAGAACCCCAGCACCCGCCCTGCTTGGGGCTGGCTTTGGTCCACGTGCGACAGGTCAGTGTGGTTTTTATGGGGAGCCTCTGCTGTTCCCGGGCACCTTGGGTCTTCGCTTGCTTTCAGGTCTCCACGGCTCAGCACCTGCTGACTCTCCCAGCGGAATGAAACCAACTTTGAAGGCACTAACTGAAGGCCACCAACTGAAGGCCGGTTGCCCTGCCAACCAGACCGTGTCCTGCTTAGGAGGAACCAATCAGGCCTTGAGTTCCCTCCACGTGCAGCCCTTCCATTTGTGATATAGGAGCCAGGGACCTGCTCACAAGGCTCCGCCCCCCAGCGGTCCGCCCCACCTGCCATTCATTGATAGCTGCTAGCAATTTTCTGGTTTCCTCACTGTGCATTATGAATATGAATGATGTTAAAATTACTGTAACCAAGTGTGCCTCATGCACTGTCTGGCATCCAAAGGGTCCCCTTTCCCCCATGGCTTCTGAGGGTTTTTGAAACTAGAAAGACAAATATCTGCAGGTGCTTTCAGAAAAAAAACACTGCCATGAGTAAAGTCTACTCTGTTATGTTAACATGTGTACATGTTATATGCATACATATTTAATGTGTGTATATAATATATATGCATTCAATAAGCATATATTCAGTTTACATGTTTTTGAAAATAACACACATATTCATTTAAACTAGCAAGTGTAATGGGTAAATTTTCTAAAATTCATACACTGAGTACATCACATTTTTCTAAGGCTCATGTGGATAGAGCACCTTTCTAGATGCAGCCCTTTACACATGTTACTGGTTTTTTCCTTCTTTCATCAAACGTTTCTTTAGAATTGACTCGAGGCAAGATATGGCAGAGAAATGGAAGAATCAATTAGAGGAGCTGTTCAACTAGTAGGTTAGACTGATGGGTATACACGCAACTTCAATAAAATGATATGTATTGAACGAACCTGGGGAAAAGTGCTAAGATGAGCTCCAAATCCCTGTATTTATGATGATGCCCTCTTCATAGTAAAATATTAGTAATACAATAGCATGCTCTCCTTGATGTCTCACCTTTAATTTCACGGTATAATCTTCCACCATTTGTATCCTAACTAAGTATTTCCTCCATAATCCCCAGGAAATAGCAAAACCACTGAAAATAAACATTTCAATCTTAGATTTACTGTTGAAAGAAGTGTGTCATTGATGCCTCAGTTTATTATTGTGGCGCCAAATTCCCAGTGCGGAAGCAGCATGAGCTGGAATTCATGCCCTTCATTTAAATGATTGCAGATCATTGACTTTTTCTTGGTAAATATATAAGAAAATTCCTATTCTCTTAATGCTGTAAAGGGATCTTAAAATCATGGGGATATAGTTGTACTCTGCATG